ACCTCCAGGAGTCAACATCGTCGGGGGCAAGTGGTTGTTCCGTGTAAAACAGCTCCCAGACGAGGCACCGGTGTTCAAAGCGCGTTACGTAGCCAAGGGCTTCACCCAGCAGCGGTACCGCGACTTCAACCTAATCTTCTCCCCCACATCCAAACCTCCCACCATTCGAACGCTCATGGATGTTGCAGCTCGAGAAGACTTTGAGATCAAATCCATGGATGCCTCCTCCGCCTTCCTACAAGGACGTCTCAAGGAGACAGTGTTCATGGACAGACCAGAAGGCTTCCTAGGAGAATTCCCTCCCAACACTGTCTGGAAGCTGAATCGCCCCGTCTACGGCCTTAAACAAGCCCCTCGCGAATGGCACAACAAGGTGAAAGAAGTCCTCCTCTCCCTGAACTTCCACCCCTCAACTGCTGACCCGACTCTCTTCATCCGTCGTCATTCTGAGCCATTCTACATCCTAGTCTACGTGGATGATTTTATCCTCGTTGCCAAGGACTCGGCCCAAATGACCTCAGTCCAGGCAGCCCTGAGCAAGGCCCTCCAGATGAAAGACCTCGGTGACCTCAAGCACTACCTGGGAATGGAGATCACTCGTGATCGCAAGGCTCGCACCATCTCACTCTCCCAGGAGTTCTACATCGACAATGTGCTCAAGCGGTTTGAGATGGAGCTGTGCACACCTGTTGCCACCCCGCTGCCGCTACAACACCTCCTTACAGCTCCTGCTGTACCCACACCAGAGGCCTGCTCTGAGCCATACCCGGAACTTGTTGGGTCCCTCATGTACGCCATGATGTGCACCCGACCGGACTTGGCCTACCCAGTCAGTGTTCTCTCTCGTTACGTGGCCCCGGGTCGCTTCACTAATCTTCATTGGAAGGCAGCAAAGCGGGTGCTGCGCTATCTTAAGGGCACAAAGTCCCACGTTCTCACACTCGGTCGGCTCTCCCCTCCTCGCCTGGAAGGTTACACAGACTCCTCCTGGGCTGATGACCAGACCGACCGACGCTCCTCTCAGGGGTACTGCTTCACCCTCGGGAGCGGAACTGTCAGTTGGCGCTCCACCAGGTCGTCTGCAGTCTCCCTCTCCTCCTGTGAGGCGGAACTCTACGCAGGCACCATGGCTGCTCAGGAGGCCCGTTGGCTCACCTTCCTACTCCAGGAGCTTGGCTTCCCTCAGTCAGCCCCCACCCTCTGGTGTGACAACCAGAGTACCATCCACATCTCTCAAGACCCTGTGTATCACACCCGCACCAAGCATATTGAACTTCGGCACTTCTTCATTCGTCACCTTGTGCAACAAGAGCAGCTGAAGGTGGAATACGTGGCATCTGACTGCAACCTCGCTGACCTGTTCACCAAGCCCCTTGGGAAGGTTCCCCACCATCGTCTCCTTGGCGCCATGGGGCTCTGCGCTCCTCCTTCTCCGCCATGAGTTCGATTGACGCCTCGGGGGGGGTGTTGGTGTTAGGCCCCAATCTCACATTTTGTACTTGTACTTTTATATCCTAGTTTAGTGTAGTTTGCACTTTGTGTTTGGTTGGGTGTACACCCACATCCCAACCAAACCCAAATGTAATCTCCAAGCAATCTCCAACCCACCAATTGGAGATTGCCTTGGGATTACCCTTGATTCCCTAGGATTGCCTCCTGATTCCCTCCTCATCCCTACCTTGCTCATTCCGGAAGTACTTAAAGAGCTTTGAGCTCACTACTATAGTATCGATTCTAAGCTCAAGTTCTGACATCATGGTCGTCAAAACTGCTGCATATGGTCATTAACCTGTCGTTCTCTCCCCTCGAGCCCAGGCCAGACGTCTTGTCCAGCGCTGAGTCCTCAATGATGTTCAGATCCCCCGCCAACAGGAGTTGGTTCCCAGCAGGTATCGCGGTGAGAAACGGCTGGAGCACGTCGCGGAAGAAAGGGGCTCGCGCCGTTGGACTCGCCGGAAAGTAAGCTGCTACAACTGTTACCATTACCCCACGTCATGACATGGTCACTCGGGCTAGGCGGCCTGAGGCATCTCTGACCGCGTCCGTGCAGGACACCTCATTGTTGCGTAAGACAATCGCAACTCCCCCAGCCCTTGCCGTAGGCGTCGTTGCTATTACTGTATCAGCCTGAAGATGGTTCCAGAATCCGTGATTCTCAGCAATCCTCGTGTCTGCTAGAATGGCTACGTGTGCTGCGTCTCTTATCCAGTCCTGAGCGTCTTGCTGCTTCTGTGGACAGCCAAGACCGTTGACGTTCAGGACGCTGAAGGTGAGGGTGGGGTGTTTACCCATTGGGAACTTGTGTTAGGCCCCTTAGCATCCACGGGCCGGATGTGAGTGTGCTGCTGCGGTTGTTAAGTTCTGCTTTTATACTCCAGACAGGTACAGACACATCGTTAGCGCATACAGTCCTACACCACGCTGCAGAATCTCTTCTCTTAACTCCATGCTCCTGATTCACTTCCCCTTCGCCTTCTCCGCTCGAATCCCATACAGCTTCTTTGCCGCCTGCAAGGCCTGCTTCGCCTTGGTCGCACGGGTCGCAACACCCGCCGTACCCAGCGCCGCGTCGTGGCTGAAGGAGCTGATGTGAGCCGCAGCCTGAGCGAAAGGTATCCCCGTGCGCACGTTCGCAGCACTCCTGGACACACAGCCATTCCTCCACGTTGGTACCAGTCGAGATAAGGACCAGCGCCGGGTCCCGGAGAAGCTTCCTCACCACCCTTGCCGACAGAAGGGAGGCCGCTGCAGAAGACACCCATCACACCACCATCAGTCAGTAAGGAATGAAGAACCATGCACTGGTAAGAGCTCCACAGTAGGACCCCCCCCCTATTACCGTTAATCGAATGGACCCTGCCTAAGGACAAGTTCCAGTTGCTGATGTTGTTGCGACGCTCATGCACATACTCATCATGCAACTTATCCATATGCGGTCCCTGACAGAAGCGGCAGGGCAGCGATGGATAATGCACGAGGTATGACGCATCAGTGAGCGGGTCCTCCACCACGTGGCGCCAGCGGTACTTGTCCCCTGGATGCGGGACCATCCCTCGTGCATCCCCTGGATGCGGGACCATCCCTCGTGCATCCGTGTCCAAGCCACGGATCTTATCCGTGTCCAAGCCACGGATCTTATCCGTGTCCAAGCCACGGATCTTATCCGTGTCCAAGCCCGAAACAGGGTCAACCACACGGTGGAAACCCGCGCCTTGCTGGAACGCCGGACGACCGCGCTTCTGCAGCTTCGCCACCGCCAGCGATTCGTAAACAATGAGCGGCGTAATCTCCGCTGGAACTCCTTTGAGCAAAACTTCCACCCCTTCCGGCAGGTCAGTCTTCGCTTTCACAAAGGCGCGGTTGAATGGGTGCAGCCAGCCGAAATGGTGCTTCGTGGTCCCCACAACATGCTCCACCCGATGCTGACGCACCACCTCCGCATCCGCAGCTGTCGCGAGCGTGACCTGCAGACGGCTGAAGTGAACCTTGGACAGGTAAGTCGGAAGCAACTCTTGAAACGCGATCACGTCCAGAGCATTGTCCGACAGCTTCTTTCGCAGGAAAACCAGAAGAGCCTTCACCGAAGGCTTCACCGCAGGCATCTCCTTCGCCAGGGCGAACGGGATCAGGAGCGTCAGCGTGACGCGCGCCTTAGCCGCCAGCGCACCCTTAGCGTGCACATCAATGCCTTCATCCGAATCATCGCTCAGGTAACCGTCGTCGTCATCTTCGTCATCCTCATCCCCCCCTACAGGAGCGTACGCGGACGGAACTGCAGGCGAAGGCGCAACCGGTTCTGGGACGGCCGATGCAGGAGCCGGCGGAACCACCGGAGCGACCTGGCCTTCAGCGGTTGGTGGAGAAGTGGAGGTCCCAACACCCGCCTCCACGCCATCAGACTGCTCCAGCGATGGGACATTCTGACCTTCCGGCGTCGTCATGGTAGCAGCAGCTTTCGTCGCCCTGGTCAAGATCGTCATGCTTGGACTTAAAGAGAGGAGAGCGAGGTGATCGCTGACTGCTGAACCATGGCAGGCAGGCATTATGTAGATTTCCAGCTTCTTCCTTGTCTTCCATTCCCATGGTATTGCCTGGACCTGATGGCACCAAGGGAATCCTTGATCTTGAACACGAGCTCGACATCTGTCGAGGTAGGATTGTTGCTGACTAGGATTAGGCAGCCACTTCAGCACAGACCCGCTCGGTAGTTGGCAGCGCACACAATGGAGACCCCAAGACTGAAGGAAAACCGTAGGAAACAGATGTAATCCGTGTGGAGAACTCCTAAGCGACTGCCTGGCAGAACCTAGATATGACCATGACCATTTGCCTGGAACTCGATAAGCATGAAGAATACCCGCCTGATGGGTACAATTTCTATGTCTGCTTATAGAAGAACACAAGCTGCATCGGATGGAGTAGTCTATGGTAAAAATAGGAACTGTTTGCTTAGACATTGCTCGCCTCGAAGCGCGCGACAGGATCCATGGCGGCCTTATCATCATGCCGCTATGGATAGGATGGCACCATGCCGCTATGACAGCCATAGTTTTGCGATCAGACCGGGGTGACGAGCGGTATCGTAGGGGTGGTGAGGGGTGATGAGGGGTTTCACAGGGGTGATGAGGGGTGCGAGGGGGTTATGAGGGGCAATGGAATATGTTGATGGGTAAGAGGAGAGAGAGAGAGCAGTGGCATGTGCGTTGGGTGAAGGCATGTCACCCAAATATGCCTCGTCCACCCAATGCATGTTCCCCAGCGGCATGCCCACTGGCAAACCAGCACAAGCAGGCAGGGGAGCAAGCAAAGCACACAAGGCACCTGTTAGAAGAAGGGGAAGAGGCCAGCAGCCGTGGTGGTCTCTCAACACGGTCCTGCAGAGCAGCGATGAGCAGTGGCATGTCGGCCGGGTCCAGGCACGTCACCACTCCCCACCACTTAACACCACAAACACACACAGGATGAACATCCACCTAGAAACCACACAGCCTAAGCCATACCTGTTCAAAGAGAGGAAAAAGGCCAGCAGCCGTGGTGGGCTCGACTGGCTCCTGCAGAGCAGCGATGAGCAACGGCATGTCGGTGGGGTCCAGGCATGTCACCACCCCCTCCTCGTACCGGCTTCCCCTCCTGCCCGCCCTCCCGGCGATCTGCTTCACCTGCGATGGTGTGGAACCAAATGGAGGGGGGAGGAGAGAGATGGAGGGGTGAACGAGACCGTGAGGTGAGGAAAGTTAGTGTCCAGGCACGTCACCACCCCCTCCTTGTATCGGCTTCCCCTCCTGCCCGCCCTCCCCGCGATCTGCTTAACCTGTTATTTGGGGGCAAAGGACGGGAGTGGTGGGGAAAGAGATGGAGGGAGAGACGGAGGGGAGAGAAACTGAGGGGAGAGAATCTGAGGGGAGGGGAACTGAGGGGAGAGAGACTGAGGGGAGAGAAACTGATGGGAGAGAAACTGATGGGAGAGAGACTGATGGGAGAGAAACTGATGGGAGAGAAACTGATGGGAGAGAAACTGATGGGAGAGAAACTGATGGGAGAGAAACTGATGGGAGAGAATTTGTGCATCTGACGCCACGAGGGGAAGTCGCTCTCCTCCTTGTTGAACAGCCTCGCCTGGTGCCTAACGAGCACTGTGCCACCAATGGCGTTTGACAGGAAAAATACCCGTGCGTACCATGGGGGACGGGATGACAATTTTCTCCTCCCCGTTGAACTTGCGAAGCATGCTGAACACGACCCTGCGAGTCGACAGGTTAAGGCCCATTCCAATTGCATCTGACGCCACGAGCACACAGAAATCGCTCTCCTCCTCGTTGAACAGCCTCGCCTGCTGCCTGACGAACACTGTGCTGACCACCCATATGGGCACCCGTGCGTACCATGGGCGACGGGATGATGATCTTCTCCTCCCCATTAAACTTGTGAAGCGTGCTGAAGACAACCCTCCGAATGGAGAGGTTGAGCCCCATTCCAATAGCGTCTGAAGCTACCAACACACGGAAGTCACTCTCCTCCTCGTTGAACAGCCTCGCCTGCTGCCTCCTGGTTTCTGGCGGCAGTGCCCCGTACACCACACAGCACCGGTGCTTTGTGGTCATCTCCACCGCTCGCTGGATGGGGGGAGAACATGAACAAACAGAGGAGGAGATGAGGCGCGTGCAAGGAACATGGGGGGAGGGGAGGATGCGTGTGTGGGAAGTGTCTCTGGCGGCAGTGCCCCGTACACCACACAGCACCGGTGCTTTGTGGTCATCTCCACTGCCCTCTGGTGGAGACATGTGTGAGGGAAGAAAGGCACATGTGGGTGGGGTACGGAAAGTCATATGCGCTTGAAGACTGTGAGCTGTAACACCCGAAAGCTGATGCACAAAGAAGCATCGTACACAAGGCACACGGAAGGGCAGACAACAGCAGAGCAGAGCAAGGCACAGCATGTGTGCTGCTCAGAGCAGACCACATGGAACGCACGCACCAGAGCAGAGCACGGCTTTTGAGGCACCTCAAATGGCTGCTCAGAGCAGACCACATGGAACGCACACACCAAAGCAGAGCACGGCTTTTGAGGCGCCTCATAAGGAGAGCAGAGCAGAGCAGAGCACGGCCCAGGCAACATCCAGACATAGCTCAGTGAGCTGCGTGCGTGCAGTAGGCTTAAAGAAAAGGAAAAACAGCAGTAGATTTCCGCTCTGTGTACAACTAAGTGCTCAAAACGATCTCAAAACCCAAAACGATCTCAGAACCCAGCATGGAGAGCAGAGCAGAGCACGGCCCAGCATGGAGAGCAGAGCAGAGCACGGCCCAGCATGGAGGTGTATTTTGAAGCGCTTCAAAATTCCTAGCATGAAACGCAACCCACCTTGATTTCAAATATCTCTCGCCGCGAGAACGCCACAATGCAGTCACCAGGTGATACCCGCCCCAGATCACCCAGCAAGCTCGTCTGGTAAGGGGTGGGGAGGAGGGCGCAGCGCGCAGCAGCAGCAGGCAGACAGGTCACAGAAGACGAAAAGGACAGATTGAAATACCCAATGACCAAGAGGTGCACCCACACCCAAAGACCAGCAAGTGCACCTACATCCGATGACCCCCGACCCAGATAACGGGATACCGGGATACCGGGTGACCGGGTGACCGAGTAACCGGGAAACCGGGAAACCGGGAAACCAGGATACCAGGATACCGCCATACCGGGAAACCGGGATACCGGGATACCGGGGAAACCGGGAAAACCGGGAAACCGGGAAACCGAGATACCGGGAAACCGGGATACCGGGATACCGGGGAAACCGGGAAAACCGGGAAACCGGGAAACCGAGATACCGGGAAACCGGGATACCGAGATACCGGGATACCGAGATACCGGGATACGGGAATACCAGGAAACAAACCGGGAAACCAGGAAGCCGGGAAACCGGGAAACTGAGAAACCAGGACCGCGAAACCGGGAAACAAGGAAACCGGGAAGCAAACCGGGAAACAAACCTACCCACCAGCCCACCCACCCACCCACCCACTCACCCACCCACACGCCTTTATAAGCGCCTCAAAAGTTGCACCGCAGAACCCATCTGGTGGGGGACAGCAAATAAACTAGCAATCCAGTTCTAAGTTGACTCAGGAACTAGCACCAGCCCACCCACACACATGACTGATCACCTAGACAGAAAGGAAGAAAGAGCTACCTGGTCCACTGTGAGCGGTGCAAAGCGGTGGTAATGGTGGCATTCGAAGGCGTCCCCAGTGGCGTCACAGATGGCTCGCAAGAGGGGCAGCACGGAGGGGTCGCCACACACGTGCACCTCCGCTGCTTGCACTCCCAGGAGGGCCCTGGTCCACGCCCATCCGCGGTAATCGTCACTGATCATCTGAGACACACGGGGGGGAAGGGGGGTTTGGGGGGGTGGGGTGTGTCAGTCAGGCAGAATGGAGGGGTCACCACACACGTGCACCGCCACTGCTTGCACTCCCAGGAGGGCCCTTGTATGCCTTTTTTAGAATTCTCAAAAAACATGTCCACGCCTGCCCTCGATAATCGTCGCTGATCATCTGAGACACATGTGGTGGCGGGGGGAAAGAGGGGGTGGGTGTCAAGGCATCACGGAGGGGTCCCCACACGCGTACACCTCTGCTGCTTGCACTCCCAGCAGCGCCCTCGTCCACGCCCACCCTCTGTAGTCATCCCTTATCATCTGGGAGCGAGGGAGGGGTGGGGTTTGGTAATACGAGAGGAGAGGGGACGGGGAAAAGGGGGGTGAGGTGAGGGTGAAGCGAACCGTATGCTACTCCCCCACCTTTCAGAGCAGCACGGAGGGGTAACGCTCATTCACAAAGAAAGAACCCACTCACACATGAATGAAGGAAACACACCCACGCACACAGACAGAAAAACCACAAGTACATGGGATGAGCAAAGGGCGAACACGGACATGTTCGTGTTCGCCCCTTCTCGAACACGTCCTTTTGCCGAACCGAACAGTGTTCGGTTCCGCGAACAGTTTAGCCAAAAACAGGTGTTCGCTGTTCGCCTGTGGAGGCGTGTTCGGGCGAACCTCGAACACGTTCGGACGAACGATTTAAGCTGAAAAACAAAACCTGTTCGAGGCGAACCGAACAGGTGTTCGCCACCTTGCTCAAGCCTACATGAATCTCATCAATCACAGCCACGACCACAGGCATGAAAAAGGTTGCTCTATCAAAATCAAGCCAAACGGCTAAAAAAATCAATGCATGGAAACTTGTGAGTCCCTTGGCTGCTCTATCAAGATCAAGCCAAACGGCTAAACAAACAGCAGATACCAGATCGCACATTCCAAACATAGAAACGCGAGATGCTAAGTACCTGAATCTCGTCAATGGCCGCCACGTCCACAGGGGTAGAAAGGTTTGCCATCTCGATGGTGGTGCATGCCGTGTGGTGCATGCCGTGTGGTGCATGCCGTGTGGTGCGCGAATGGCATCTCCTGTTGGGAACACCACACACCACTGATTCCCTGATTGGTGAGGCCCCTTGTGTGCAGAAGGTGCATACCTGAATCTCGTCAATGACTGCCACGTCGACAGGGGTGGAGAGATTGGCCATCTCAATGGTGCAGGCGGTGTGGTGGGCGAAGGGCATCTCCTTCCTCTCCTGCCCCGTCACCAGATTGCAATACACCCCGTCCGCGTTCACCCGGTCAAACACCTGAAGGGAGTGGGGACGGGGGAGTGGGGAGTGGGGGTTGTGGCGGGTGTTTTGGGTGTGATAAGGTTTGACTAGCACGTCACCAGATTGCAGTACATTCCGTCTGCATTGACCCGGTCAAACACCTGAGGGTGGGGGATAGGGAGGACGAGGGATGGCTCACGCCTCAAGTCTGATGAACACAGAAGCTCATGTCTCCAGATCCGCTCTCCCAACCGCCACCATACCTCTCTTCATCCATCCATACCTCCATCCACTCCACCACACCTCCCTCCACCCCTCCATACCTCCATCGCCAGCAGCCTGAGCGGCCCACAGTAAGTGCCGGAGGAAGCTTCCTTGAACCTGACCAGCGCTCGGTGCGTCTTGCCACTGTTGGTGGGGCCCATGTGGTATACCACCTTGCGTGGCATGGCACGTGCTTGGGGATACCTGATGGGAGAAGCGAGGGAGGGGAGGAATGAAGGGATGAGGCAATGCTGTTGGTGGGGCCCATGTGGTATACCACCTTGCGCGGCATAGCCCTCGCCTGGGGATACCTGATGGGAGATGTGGTGGGGAGGAATGAAGGGATGGAGGCAGGATGGCAGCGCTGTTGGTGGCGCTCATGTGGTATACCACATTGCCACATAACACACCACACCACGCTGCACAACACTGCACCACACTACACCACAACCCACCCACCCCACCACACAATATTGCGCATCACGACATACCACACGTGCTGCTTGGTCCCTGTAGCTCCGAATCTTCTCCAGGACCGGGTATTCCCCAAAGAAGAACTCCGCAAAGAGCGGAAACAGGAACTCATCAGCATCCCTGCCCGCGCCCATGTGTGCGAGCGCGGAGGCGAGCTCGGGGCAAGAGCATACAAGACTGCACCAGACCACACCGCACCACACCACACGACACCAAACTACACCAAACTCCACCACACCGCACCACATCGCACCACAGCAGACCACACCACTCCACATACCACACATGTGGCTTGGTCATGTCTGCCGAGTTCACCAGATCCCGGTAGCTCCGAATCTCCTCCGGGAATTCCCCAAAGCAGAACTCCGCAAGAAAATAAGAAACGGAACACCACTCCACCATGCTGCATCGCATCGCACCACGACGTACCAGACATGCGGCTTGGTCATATCAGCAGAGTTCACCAAGTCCCGGTAATTCCGAATCTCCTCCGGGAACTCCCCGAAGCAAAACTCCGCAAAGAGCGGAAACAGAAACTCGTCCGCGTCCCTCCCCGCGCCCATGTGCGCGAGCGCAGAGGCGAGCTCTGGGCGGCAGCAGCGCAGCACGAAGCGGCGAAACTTGGAGGCAGCTGTGGGGAAGAAGCGCGATGGGATGTAGATGGCTAGTGCTTGATCCGCTGCCCACCTGTGCACAACAAGAAAGTGGAAAAGGGAGGGGAATTAGAGGAAAAGCATGCGATGCGGCGGTTGTGCCGAAAGAAGAGCGAAGGGATGTAAGTGGCATGTTTCCAGTCACAAATCTCCATACCCGCGCGTGGCGAAGTGTTTCAGCGCGTTGTTCACACGCTCCCTGTCGTTCTTGCTCAGAGGGGGAGGCTTGGGCGCCGTCCCTTCATCCACGGCCCTCATTATAGTCACCTCCGCTTCCGCGTCCATCTCCCATGAGTCCTCCTCGTCCTCGCCCTGCCACACCTGCTTCTCCCCCGCTATCCTCACATCGCCGGCCAGGACCGGCTCTTCCAGGACCAGCTTCGCCCCCTCTATAGTCACATCGCTGCTCCCGTTTGTGTCACTATCCGCGGATACCGTTACTTCGCTAACAGCCGCAGTGCTACCCCCACCACCGCCGCTGCCCCCACAGCCGTTGCTACTCTTCCCGCCAGCGCGCTTCTTCCTGCCCCGCGTGATGCTACTGCTCTCACCGTTGCTTCTGCCGTTGGTGCCGCTGCTGCTGTCCGCATTGTCACCCCCACGGGCAGTGTCACTACTGATGCTGTCACTACTGCTGCTGTTGGCGCCGCCGCTAGCACTGCTGCTGGCATCGCTGCTGGCGCTACTAGTTAATCTCTTCCTCGGTCTCCCCCTCTTAGCCACTGGCACGCTATCTTCCGGGCTGGAACCCGGCGAATCCGGCGACGACACATCAGCGGAGGGGAGATCCCCAGGTTTAGGGTTCGATCCATAGTGAACGGGTCCTGATGCATCGGATCGGTCGCTTGCTTCGCCAAACGAGCGAGACTGTAACGAGGTGGAGGTGGAATAGGCACCTACGGGTGACGCAGAATCGGGGAAGACTCTAAACGGGAGAGATTCCGTAGGAGATCGAAAAATCGAGGAGCTGCCAGATCCTGATTTCAGATCGACGCTGAAAGGCAGGATCCTCGTGACTGTGCTGAGAGGCTGATCAGGAAAACGGTGACCTTGTGCCTGACGAGTGTTCAGAGAGTGACTGTACGCGGCGTGACTGTGTTCGGAGTGATTGTATGACGAAGGAGTGCCCGGTTCGAGGAGAGACGAGCATATCCTGAAATAGCTCGGCTGCTCCTGCAGTGGTGTAGTCGACGGAAGAGCAGGTGAGTTCCCGGACACGTGGAACTGATTAACGTTAACTGAGACGTCAGGAATAACGGTGCTATTGGCCGATCTCTTTTTCGCTACGGCTCGACGAGACGAGGCCCGCCGTACTCCGCTAATGACCAGCCTGACAGAATGAGGCGCCATGGCGCGGGGTTCGACACGAGCACGATTTTGAACCTTCGAAACTCCTGCGAGTATATGTAGTTCGTATTCACAATATGGGCCTCTCCATTACTGGTGAACAAACCCAGCTCATTACGTGACTAATCGTGATGCTGGATTCTATGGGAGTTTAGTGCTTCTTATATTTTTTTTTAATGATGATTGCAAGTATACACCGAAAGGCAAGCGTACACTAGCAGGAGTGCTTCTTAATGCTGTACACTCCTTCTTTACTACGGATAAGCTTGTGAGGAAGAAAGTGTTTCCTGCTTTCGCGAGCACCTTCCACAATTGAGTCACCCGCATCCTCGCTACCAGCGACTCACCGACTAAAAGCCGCTGCACGAAGCAATCCTCGAGGAAACCACACCTCGAACATGCGCTGGTCACAGCTGGACAGCTCGTGTGTGCAACCAGCGCCACGCAAAGCCAATCCCTTCTGCCACGTACGCAGCTTTCAGCAATCCAACCGACCATCTGCTTTGGGGATGAAATCACAACCAGGGGCTTGTTGATGTGACCTGCCAGAGATTTCTCTTCGGCCATTAGTTCTAACCCACGTAGATTGTCAAGGCTGCTGAGCAGCTCTGGAGGGAGGCTCGGCATCTCGTACCTGCACGTGCTACATGCGTGGTGCCCGTGCTGTTTGTCAGACCTGTCATCGTCTCGTGCGTGTCTCGTTTCTCCTCTCGCTGCACATATCACCACCCCCCGCCATCCAATTTTCATTTCTTCCAATTTTCCTAATTTCGCCTCTAGCTCTTTTCTTCAACTCCTCCTCGCAACAATCCTTCTCTCGTTTATTGCCCCTTCGCCTCTTCCTTCGGCCTCGTGCTTGACACACTCTACACTCTCCAATCTGCGGCATCCTCGCGAAGGCTCAGCTTGAAAACATGACAGGCGAAAATCACTCGGCTAACGCCACAGAAGACAGCAATCAACCTCCCAGCAGTCAGAGCGCCAGCCCTCCAAGAGAGAACTCCCTTTTGACGAACGAGGCTATAACTGTACGCGTATCCGAGTCCACACCCGACCATGAGTGCGGCCACGTGCACCTCTCGCACCGCGCTCCATGGCTTCGCGCCGCTCTTCTCGGCGCCAACGACGGGCTCGTGTCGGTCGCGTCGCTTATGGTCGGCGTCGGCGCCGTCGATAGTAGCCAGATTGTAATCTCCGGATTGGCCGGGCTTGTCGGCGGAGCGTGCAGCATGGCGATTGGCGAGTACATCTCCGTTTATGGCCAACGCGATATAGAAGAAGCGGACGTGCAAAAGGAGAGGGAGGAATTTCTCAAAGGCCCGGAAGCGGTACAGAGGGAGTTGGAGGAGTTGGCGCAGATTTACGTCTCGCGCGGATTGTCGTACAGACTCGCACGCGAAGTCGCAGAGGAGCTTTCGCGAGTCGACCCTGTTCGCGCACACGCACGCGACGAGTTGGGAATCGATATGGACGACCTCTCGAACCCGTTACAAGCTGCTCTGGCATCCGCCGCGGCGTTCATCGTCGGAGCAATCATCCCGTTATTATCCGCCGCATTCATACGCGACCACGTCGCGCAACTGGTGGTTCTTCTAGTGGTGACGACACTGACGTTTATCGGGTTCGGCATGCTCGGCGCGTGGCTCGGCGGAGCGAACAAGCTTCGAGCCGCGGCGCGAACCACGGCGGGAGGTTGGCTGGCGATGGGGATCACATATGGCATTCTGCGTCTCTTTGGCACTGCTGGGATGGCTGCTTGAGCCTAGGCTTGACTCGACTCCCTCAGAAGAAAGAGCGCTGCGTTATAAGCCAGAATGCCTCCCGCAGTTCAGTTTCACCAGAGTGCAGAATTGTGCCGTGTACAGCCTCTATATCTAATACAAATACATTTCTAGTTCCACAATGGCGATGTAAACACTCAGCTAAAACGCTCTGTACAAGCACACTGTGTGGTCACACCACCCCTCAGTACAGGGTGTCAGTGTGCCAGCGCCGTTTCTTTGGCCCTTGCTCCTCCCGCTGCTTCTTCAGCTCCATATGCTCTATCCCATGCCCTCTGTTTGCAAACAGTCTTCGTAGATTAATCACTGACAGCTCCGCGTAGCTTGACACTGCCAGATCCGCCTGCTTCAACTCATAGCTGGTTGTAAGGTGAAACAGGTGGAAAGGGTGTGAGGAGAAACAGGAGGGAGAGGGGGAGGTGAGTGAGAGGAGGATGTTAACTGGGAATGGCAGACAAGTGGGAGGTCACAAGTGGCAGCACCACCGCCTGCACATTACAATGCTTATGTCGTGTGTAACAATGAGGTCAGCTCATGCATGCTCACACAGGGTGGGTGTGTGGACGAGGGCAAGAGGAGAGCAAGCTTGTGGAAGGACAGCAGCAGCATCAAGAGCAGCATCAACAACAGCATCAACAGCAGCATCAACAGCAGCGGTAGAAGCACGGCAGCATGCTCACGCGGGGTGTGTGCCGATGAGAGCCACGGCCTTCATGCTGCAGTTGTGCGCTGCTGTGATTCCCCTCGGGTCATCCTCAAACACCACACACTTGGCTGGCGCTCGGTCCAGCTGGTTGGAGGATGCACACAACATGCGAAAGCGCGTAGGGCGAGGGGAAGGAAGGAAAGAGTGGAATGGAAAGCATGGGTTAAAAAGGAGTGAGGCCAGGAAAGGGGAAGATTGGAACAAAAGCTGAGAGGATGAGAAGGCATGACACGGATGACCAAAACAGGAACTTGAAACGAAACATGGGCTGGATGCTGGATAGGACATCTCACGACTGGAGTGGATGGGTGGATGGATGGATGGATGCACAAGTGCAAGAGGAAGAGAGAGAGAGAGAGAGAGAGAGAGAGAGAGAGAGAGAGAGAGAGAGAGAGAGAGAGAGAGAGAGAGAGAGAGAGAGAGAGAGAGGGGGGGGGGGGGGGGGGGGGGGGGGGGGGGGGAGGTGTAATGCGGTAGAGAAGGGTCGCTGACCTTGACGGCAGCAGAGAGGAATCGATGAGCCATCGACTCCATGTCATCCTCTGCTGTCACAAACGCCTGGTGGTGGGAAAGGGAGAGGCGAGGGCTGCTTGGGGATTTCCAGAAGTATGTGTTCGGCATGGAATAAATCAATGAGCCATTGAATTGAACCCATGCCACTGTCTGCTCTCATAAACGCGTGGTGGTGGGAGCAAGAGCGGCGGGGTGCAGCAGAGTGAGGCGGATCTACGCTACTTCTTATAATTCCCAAACCTAACGGGGTTTAAGATTCTTCAAGAAATGTGTGGGACCCTGGAAAAGGTGCAGCAGCTTCATGCAGTCGAGGGCAAAGAGAAGAGCGAGCTTGATCTGACTTACTTGTGAATAATAATCTTTTTCTAAGATTCCTAAAAAGGTTAGGTTACCTGGAAGTGGTGCAGCAGCTTCATGCGGTCGAGGGCAGAGAGCAGAGTGAGGCGGTCGATGGACGTGGCCACAGCACACGGCACTCCTGCCTTCTGCAGCGCATCCAGCCACTCCTGCACGCCCTCCAGTGGCGCTCGCACCTGGCATATGAGGAGAGGGTGGAGAGGACGACGAGACTGAAGCAAGAATGGCCTTCTGCAACTCATCCAGCCACTCCTGCACGCCTTCCAGTGGCGCTCGCACCTGATGTGAGAGGAGGTGTAGAGACAATGATAGGGTCGTGGGTGGTTCAAATCAAGAATGGCCTTCTGCAGCGCGTCTAACCACTCCTGCACGCCTTCTAGTGGTGCTCGCACCTGACATAGGAGGAGCATGGAGGGGAAGATAGGGACGTGGGTTCACATGGCCTTCTGCAGCGCGTCTAACCACTCCTGCACGCCTTCTAGTGGTGCTCGCACCTGACATAGGAGGAGCATGGAGGGGAAGATAGGGACGTGGGTTCACATGGCCTTCTGCAGCGCGTCTAACCACTCCTGCACGCCTTCCAGAGGCGCTCGCACCTGGCGTGAGAAGAGGGTAGAGACGATGATAGGTTCACAGGTCCAAATCAAGAATGGCCTTCCAGAGGCACTCGCACCTGGCGTGAGAGGAGGGTAGAGACGATGATAGGTTCACAGGTCCAAATCAAGAATGGCCTTCCAGAGGCGCTCGCACCTGGCGTGAGAGGAGGGTAGAGACGATGATAGGTTCACAGGTCCAAATCAAGAATGGCCTTCCAGAGGCGCTCGCACCAGTGCTTGTTGTAAAAGCATGTGTGCGTGAGAGGGAGGGGGAAGGGGAGGGAGGGGGGGAGTGAACCTTGAAGAGCTGGCAGCAGCCGTAGTGCTCAGAGAATCCGTACTTGAGTAACAGAACGGTGGGCGCATTGTCAGATCTAATCTACTTTCACGGGGAGGGAGGAGGGTAGCAGAGCTTACCTTGGAGAGCTGGCGGCAGTAAAGCTCAGAGAGCCTGTCTTTGAGTGACGCAATGGTGGGCTCGTCTGAAGCCCAGAAAAGCACCTGTGAGGAGAGGACGTGGGGAGGAGGATGAGCTCAAAGAGCCTGTCTTTAAGAGACGCAATGGTGGGCTCGTCTGAAGCCCAGAAAAGCACCTGTGAGGAGAGGACGTGGGGAGGAGGATACGTCGTGCAGGCACAGAAATACAGGGTTGAATCAGGAGGAGCAATTCGGGCAGAGACATGAGATTGGAGACGTGAGGACTATGAACTAACCTTGAATGGGTAACCAAAGTAGGAAGGGTTGAAGGAGTGAGAAGAGAAAGAGTAAGAGGTTGGCAGAGTCGGAAGGAAGGGCGCACTGATTTGATGCAGTGGGCAGGGGAAGCCGTTGAGAGCTGGCGGAGTGAGGAAGGAGAGTCGGGCAAAGGCTTCCCTGTGAATGAATGGGGAGAGAGCGAGAGAGATTCGGGCAAAGGCTTCCCTGTGAATGAATGGGGAGAGAGCGAGAGAGAGGCAGCGAGAGATGAGAGCACAACAAGTGAACGATCCGTGCAAGAAGGAGAATGTCGGAATAACAAAACATAGACACAACGGGTCAGTAGCATTGAGATAGAGTGCGAACGGGCAGTGGGGAAGGCAGTGGCACAGTGATGCCTCCGTGTCTCATGACCTCAACCGCTGGCTCACCTGCTTCCTCTGCCAGCTGCTTCCAAGCCTCAAATCTCAGATCACGGGTGTTGGCCTGACCACACAGGACGCATGCAGACAAAAAGATGCACAGAATCATTGACAGACGAGACCATAATGCACCAATGCACAATGAAAACCAGAAAAGCCATATGTTTTATGGAGTACACGGTCCAAAAGCCGAGACGATTCTGAATGCCTCAGAGCGCATCACCCATGACAACACGCCTTTCAAGGCCGATCTCAAGTCAACTGAGAAACATACAATGACATCGACCCATACCAGGATTACACGAGTCCGAATGCAAATGTTTGAGTCGACTTGAATACATACAATGACGTTGTCCCAGGAGTACACAAGTCCAAATGCCAATGTTTGAGTCGACTTGAATACATACAATGACGTTGTCCCAGGAGTACACGAGTCCAAATGCAAATGTTTGAGTCGACTTGAATACATACAATGACATTGTCCCAGGAGTACACGAGTCCAAATGCAAATGTTTGAGTCGACTTGAATACATACAATGACATTGTCCCAGGAGTACACGAGTCCAAATGCAAATGTTTGAGTCGACTTGAATACATACAATGACATTGTCCCAGGAGTACACGAGTCCAAATGCCTCGTCTGGTCGCATGGCTAGGCGTATCCTGTCCACCCCTCTCTTCCTCATGCGATCGTTGAGGAAATCCTGACAGAGACGGTAGAATAACAGAAGGTTTGTTTGAAAGGCAGTTGGTGTGGTAACCTGGATAAAGATGAACTGAGAAGCATGGGTTGGAACTGGGAGGAAAAATAATAAGTCATGCTCCAATCACAGCTCACCACGTCAACTTGCAGGGCTCCTTTGGGTCGAAAAGTGGCAAACCCCTCCCCTCTCTCCGCTCCGATCTCCTGAGAGGCGACAAGATGAGTCGAAGGCGAGTAAGGGGCTGGGGGGTGGATTAGCACACTATAGCTAACAAAAGGAGGTCAGATAACGATCAAAAGGAGCAAACCGACTGTGCCTACGCCATTACAGAACCTTTCAGGGATCGCACCTCTTCACCAGGAAAGGGCCCTGGTTTGCCTCGTCTGGCCTGAATCAGCGGATTTGATTGAGGCGAAACGGCCTTCGGATCCACTGCACTCTCGCTGCCGCTGCCACTGTTGGTGCTTCTGCTGGCGCTGCTGCTGCTTCTGCTTCCGCTGTTGTCGTGACACTGGGCGCTGAAGCATTTCCAGCTCGGGGATGATTTTAATGATCTTGAAGCTTTGCAGTATAAGCTCGTCGACGAACGAGAAGGGTGTAGGGCGAGATGCTGACTTTGAAAATACGGAAAGCATTCTGTCGTCGCGATTTTTTTTCGTACCCTCACGATCGAATCTGTTACAAGGCAACTACGGTGGTTTCGAGGGCATGATGACGACGCTCTGATGTGAATGGGATTTACATACGGACAAAGATTATATACACGAGAGGTATGTGAAAAAGGCTGCGCAGCAGCTATAGGCGTGCAGTAGGAGGCCATGGAATCAGCATGTCTTAGTTCATAAGGACGAGTGATGACAAGGCTGCATGATGCAACCTGACTTGTAGTCTATATCCCTGTGATTGCGAGCCTCGATAACATGCCAGAGAAAAATGGAAGAAATGACATATTGTTTTATTGAGGTTGTTCCGAAAGCCGAATACGAACAAGTTACTGAATTTTGGCTGTGCCGCGTATGTAGAGTTGTTTGCGAAGGACCAGGTTTATGTGGCTTCCTGACATTTGTCGACACGTGTCTACCTTGTTCGGATTTCGTCTAGTTGGCCGAACCGTTGCGCGTTGGCCCTCGACCTGGCCGAAATGAGTTCACGAGCCAAAAAAGTCAGCCACAATTTAGGTTCGGCCCGCAGCTACGTCGCCTTTCGGAGCCGAACCTTCACCCTGCCTGCGCGGGAAACCTTCCACCGCCGCGTATGGGCACCGTGGCCTCGACAGGCTGTTGCTGTCCTCACTTTGCACGGCCCTCCAAACCACGGGCTTGCCGCTGATGGTCATCCAGCACCACACCGAACTTTCCGTTGGGAAATAAACGCATCCAAGGACCGATATCAATTCCCCGATTTGCCTAGACGGCGTAGATTCTTTTGAACGTTGCGCGGCGAAGCGTAGCGAAAAGGTGGGTCAAGCCTAGGGCGGGCGACGAGGGGGAAATCCCAATAATCGCACAGGGCTTGGATGCTTTTCCTCCTTGCCCGGTGTTGTTGGGGTGGCGCGGAATATGGTCAGCAGGGGGACGAGCATGATGGCAACTTCATCTCTTCCTTGCTGCACTGGAATTCGTAGCAGTCTGGTAGATGAAGCAGGGAGGAGGTTCACAACGTTCAGTGTGAGCGTTTCGGCCTTGTCAAGTAGTGACCCTGGAGGAGATATCTCCTTCCAAAGCGCTCCTCGTGACGTTAAACTTAGGGATTGCCAGCAGCTTCGTTGGTTTGCAAGATCTAAATTCCTGGAGAATTTTGAATACTTATGGTGAGAGAGCTTAGGTTATACGATTGATTGGTTCGACTTGCTGGACGACTGGCCGCCTCGTTTTGTTCGAGCGAATCACTTGCTAATCTTAACGATTTATTGAATCGCACTCTGAAAATGGACGAGCGGGAGTTTTTTACGGAGTACGGAGAAGCTAGCAAGTACCGTTTATTAGAGGTGATAGGCCGAGGCAGCTATGGCATCGTTTGTTCAGCCATAGATACGCACACAGGGGAGAAGGTCGCGATTAAGAAGATTAATGACATATTCGAGCATGTGTCAGACGCCACGAGGATTCTTCGGGAAATTAAGCTCCTTAGGTTGCTCCGTCACCCTGATATAGTGGAGATCAAGCACATCATGCTTCCTCCGTCACGGCGAGATTTCAAGGACATCTATGTCGTTTTTGAGCTGATGGAATCTGACCTTCATCAAGTAATTAAGGCGAACGATGACCTTACACCTGAGCACTTCCAATTCTTCCTCTATCAGCTGCTGAGAGCTCTGAAGTACATCCACACAGGTACTGCACTCGAGATTCATTGATAAGTGTTGCTACAGTAGGTTCGAATTCTAATTTCGCACCTTCCGTCCTTTTCAGCCAACGTGTTCCACCGAGACTTGAAGCCGAAGAACATCCTGGCGAACGCTGACTGTAAACTAAAGATATGCGACTTTGGCTTGGCTAGGGTTGCTTTCAGCGATGCGCCAACGGCCATTTTCTGGACGGTACGACACTTGCTGTGTCCCTCATTCTTTAGTTTACTTGTCGATGTGCTCTCTGTAGGGTTCCCGTGAGGAGTTCAGCAGCTCGTTTCCAACGTCAGCCTTTTACGTCAGACTTGGCTAATTCGTGCATGTGTCGGTCCACCTTTCAGGATTACGTGGCCACGAGATGGTACAGAGCCCCTGAACTGTGTGGCTCTTTCTTCTCCAAGGTATCCGTCTTTCCGTTGGTTCATTCTATTCGTATCCTAGTTTTCATCCGCTCACGTTATTTTCGCGTCTGATAACAGTACACTCCCGCCATTGACATCTGGAGCATAGGGTGCATCTTCGCCGAGCTTCTGACTGGGAAACCGTTGTTCCCTGGGAAGAATGTGGTTCACCAACTCGAGCTCATGACCGACCTTCTGGGAACGCCTTCACCAGAGTCGATCGCCAAGGTGAGCCAAAGCTGGTTTCTGGGATCATTCTCGTGCAGATTTCGTAGCCTTGTCTAAATACCTCGCGAATCTCTCTGCCAGGTTCGAAACGAAAAGGCACGGAGATATCTTGGGAGCATGCGGAAGAAGCAACCAATGCCATTGTCGGCGAAGTGCCCGAACGCGGACCCGCTTGCTGTAAAGCTGATGGAGAAGATGCTCGCATTTGATCCGTCACACAGGCCGACTGCCGAGGAGGTACATTACTGTCGGCCATTCAGGTCATTTGTTGCGTTGGCAATCATGAGAATTTGACTAAACGAAAGCTTACCTTTTGCAGGCTCTTGCCGACCCTTACTTCAAGGGCCTGGCCAAGGTTGAAAGAGAACCTGCGGCTCAACCCATCACCAAGGTGGAATTTGAGTTTGAGAGGCGAAGACTGAACATGGACGATGTCAGAGAGCTCATCTACCGCGAGGTAAGGCTCGAAAGTTGTTTCTCACCAATCCATCTTTCCTTGCTTACCGTGACACAGGGCTTTACATAATAACCCCTTTTACCTGATTGCAGATTCTGGAGTATCATCCTCAGATGCTGAAGGACTTCCTCAACGGGACGGATCCTGGAAACTTCTTGTATCCAAGGTATGGCGGCTGTGGTGTGTTGCATGGGGAGGGGCTAGTGTGGGAATTCTCCAGGCAAAATGCTGAACTGAGGGTTTACATTTTCATCAGGAAATATGGAATATATTTAGTACACATCAGGAATTTGAACAAAGACTCTCTCATTTCCGCGAAAAGGATGTAAATGTTATCGGTGAAGGCCCAACCAATGGTAGTTGTGTGGCTGAAGTGGCCTATGGTGTATTCCCCGGTGAGCATGAACTCAAATGCTGCTCTGTGTTATGTTGTGTGGGGCCTTGCAGTGCTGTGGACCAGTTCCGACGTCAGTTCCACACCCTAGAAGAGCATTATGGCAAGGCGGGCGACGCACCGTCGCTGGAGCGCCAGCATGCCTCCCTCCCAAGGTACGCATCTCATCATGGATAGCTCACATTGCTCAAGCCCATGTCTTTTGCTGCCTCGGGGTTTCGAGCTGACTTACGGAACTTGTCGATTGCGTGATCAGGGAACGCGTTGCTGGTGAGAGGAATGAACCACGGGATGAGGCTCAGTTGGAAGAGGAGAGGAGACGAAGAGCAGCAAGGCAGCAAAGGGCATGGGCACAATCAGGATACAAGGGTACGCTTCAGCGATTAGTGATGGACTTGTGCCTGTGATCCTGCACATACCTTCCCTTCCCATGCCCCATTTACACCCATCCACTGGAGCCATTCCTCCAATCCCTTCCACCCTCCCTAAGACCCAATGTCTTGCACCTCTCCACTTCGGAGCTTAGGTATGCCCTACTCTTTTCCTAATGTCTTCCACCCTACAGTATTCAGCATCTCCCCCCCTCCCTGCTCATCAATGACTTTCCACCTCCCCACTCTTCAATGTTCTTCCCCCTCCCCACTCTTCAATATCTCCCCCTCCACTTTTCAATACCATTCCACCTCATTATTCTTACAATGTTATTCTACCTCCTCTTTGATGGCATCCCCACTCTTTAGCACCGTCACTAATATTCAATGCCATTCTTCCTCCCCACACATGACATTCCCCCTCTCCACATTTCAATGTAACCAACCTCCCCAGTCTTCTCTGCTAGTCACCCTTCCTACTCTTCAATATCCACCACCAACACCACTTCTTGATCTCTTTCACCAATTTACCCCTCAATCTTTGCCACTCTCTTTCTAACGCCTACCGCCCTCTTTAACCCCTATCTTCCTCCACCCTTCCTGCTTTCTACATCATCCGCCTCTCTCACACCAACTTGCAGCTGGAGTGGGGCAGCCTGCAGCGCGCCCTGGCAGGGTAGTGGGGTCCAGTGGAGGAGCAATGAACGGTGCACAGAGAGACGATGTGCGGCGGTACGCTCGCACAGCAGCACTGAGTGCGCAGTCCCCGTTTCACATCGGCAGCCAACTAGAAGACTCCACCAGGAAACCAGCGAGGCAGGAGGCAGGAGCTAGATAATTGGCGTGTCACTTCCCCTGTCGTTAACCATTTATGCAATTTCTTGAGTTTTAACAAGTTGGCTATCAGCTAGCAATCCTGCAGTGCAGCACCCCCTCGCAAGGTGCACTCCATATGCCTCGGCTTTTCGCCACACATTTCAGCAAGTGCTATACTAGCCTCCCCTGCCTCCTAGCTGCCAACATCCTGTAATAGCTTGCTCATCATTCAAAGGTCAATCAAGATAGATCATCATAATGCAGGACAAGTACACTGAAGCCAAGGACTAATAATGGGAGTACTGTTAATGCGCTAAGTCAAGACAGATGATTGAGGACCTAAAAGGAGCAAAGCCCCATGCGAAACTGCCTGCCCTTGGCAATCCCCAACGAAGCCTCGTGTTTATTCATTCCCTCCTTCCTCCGCATTCTCGCCTCTTTTCCCACCCCCTCCTCTGTGCGAGCTGGCACCTCCCTCCCCTTCAAAATAATCCCCGCTTCCTGTGGCACTGTTCAGACCACCACCAGCAGCGGCACCACCACCACCCTTGCCTGCCTCCCCTCCTCCCGCACCTCCTCCACCCCCCCACGATCCTCCTCCTCCTCCCATTCCTCCTCCGCCTTCCCACCCACCCATGTTACCATCCGCACTGCCCATTCCCCCTCCGCCTCCTCCCATTTGCCCTCCTCCCCCTCCCCCTCCTCTTCCAAAGAAGGCTGGGTTGATGTGGGGAGCAACACCAGGCAGACCACCGCCCATGTTTGGGAACCCACCCCCCATGCCTCCCCCCATGCCTCCCCCCATGTTTCCCCCCATGTTTCCCCCCATCCCTCCCCCAGGGCCCATTTGGTTGAACCCAGGGCCTCCCCTGGGGAAGCCCCCCCCTCCCCCTGGCGGACCAACAAAACCTCTTCCCCCTCCTCCCCCTCCCCCTGCCACAGTCCCCCCTCCTGCCCCCATTCCCCCAGGGCCAATTGATGGGTCGAACCCCCCACCTCCCCCCATAGGGGGGCCTCCGGGGAAGGGCATTCCCCCTGTACCAGCTCCCCTTCCCCCTCCCCCTCTTCCCATGCCCCCTCCTCCCCCCATTCCTCCACCCCAGTCCCCACCTGCCCCGCCTCTCCCCCCTCTTCCCCCATCTACCCCTCCTCTTCCCCCCATCCCCATGCCCCGCCCAGGCATCATGCCCCCGCGCCCAAAGCCTCTCCCTGGCCCAGAACCTCCCCCCATAGGGCCCGCTCCGCCCATGCCTCCCCCCATGCTTCCCCCCATGCCTCCCCCCATGCCTCCCCCCATGCCTCCTCCCATGCCTCCTCCCATTCCTCCCCCCATTGGCCCTCCCCCACCCATTGGGCCCCCTCCTGCCCCCATCCCCCCTCCCATGCCCATACCACCCATGGGACCCACCATACCCCCCCCCCATCCCTCCCCCCATCCCCCCTCCCATCCCCCCTCCCATCCCTCCTCCCATTCCTCCCCCCATTCCTCCCCCCATTCCTCCTCCCATACCTCCCCCCATCCCTCCCCCCCATACCCCCCATACCTGGCCCCATTCCCCCCATTCCCATCGGGCCACCCATCGGCCCTCCACCCCTTCCAGGAAAGTTCCCCATCCCCCCACCCCCACCTCCTCTTCCTCCACCCATAGGCCCCATTCCCCCCATCCCCCCCGGCCCGCCCATCCCCCCCATGCCACCGCCCATGCCTCCCCCCATTCCGCCCATTCCTCCCCCCATCCCCCCAGGACCTCCCCCCATGGGGCCCATGTGGGGGCCAGGTTGGGCGGAAGCCATAGCAAGGTGCCTTAGGGTTTGGGGGGTGGCAGGTGTGACTATACAGGGGCGGCCATTGAAGAGCCGCCCAGCCATGTTCTCTTTACAAGCACGTGCCGCTGCTGCATCTGCGAAATCAACCTGTGAGGACCGGGCGACAGGCACGGTTTGGAGCAAAAAACACGCAAAAGAACATAAGAGGCCTGCGACGAGACAAGAGAGTGAATGCAGAAGAGAATGATTAGAGAACAGAACCAGAAGCAAATGGGGGGAGGCAAGCCACACTACATTGTGTAAAAAGGTCGCGCCAGGTGCTTTAATGCTTTAATCTCCATGGCACGCACCTGACAGTACCCTTTAGACCGCCCAGTGGCTTTTTCTTCAAAGAACTTCACCCCCACCACTTTGCCGAACTCAGACGCCCCCGCCTCTATGTCCGCGTCTGTCGTCCACCAGTGCAGGTCCCCCACAAACACCGCCAACCCCTCAAACCCCCCTCCCCCTCCGCCTCCCCCTCCGCCTCCGCCTCCGCCCATGCCTCCCCCGCCGCCGCCTCCGCCGCCTCCTCCTCCGCCAGGACCCATTCCCATTCCCCCCTGCCCCATTCCGCCTCCACCTTGTCCCATTCCGCCTCCCCCCTGCCCCATTCCGCCTGAGCCCATTCCGCCGGGTCCAACTTGCCCCCCACCCATTCCTGCGCCCATGGCCCCCATTCCCCCTCCGCCAGGCCCCATTCCGCCCTGCCCCATCCCACCTTGCCCCATCCCGCCTTGCCCCATCCCACCCATTCCCCCTTGACCCTGAAACCCTCCACCCCCCTGCCCTTCCCCTTGCGCCATCTGCCCAGGATTTCCACCCATTCCCCCGCCGTGCTGCTGCTGCGTGCCGGAGTTTCCGCCTCCGCTTGCTGCTTGCCCCGCCATCCCCTGCGCGGGACGATGCGCCTGGGAGGAACTCCCGTCCGCGCCTGAAGTTCCGCCTACGCTTCCCCCTTGCCCCGCCGGCTCTTGCGCATTACCTCCCGGTTGCGCGTTGTGCGCGATCGCCCCTTCAACTCCCCCCTGGCCTCCTCGGTCTCCGCCATCACCGCTGTCGCCTCCGCTGCCGCCGCCACTAACGTTCTCGCCGTCGCCGTTGCCGCCGCTTCCGGCTGCTCCGCCGCCAGCACTACCTTTCCGCTCTTCGTCCTCGTTATGAGCTTCGCCTTCTCCTGCTTTTAACGCGTCTCCGTCATCTTCGACTTCGTATGTTAATTCCAACTCCTCGTCCTCGGGGTGATCCGCCATATCGATGCGGCTACAAACGAGAGAAGATCAACAGTAATCAGTGGTTTTGAATAGCTCGCGACGGAGATTACGCGGATCGGCAGGGCAACAGGAGGGACGCTGAGCATCGAAAAAATGGCGGGAACTGGGAGTGCTGTTGATGGGGGCCTGGAGCAATTTCTAGGGGTGAGTTGAAAAAATCGATGCTTTCGAACATTCTTGAGACAACGTTTAGAAAACCTCATTACACAGCCTTTTGAGCCATTTCCACGCAGTTCAGTGGGTTTTTACGGATCTTGATCCCGTTTGTCTTAGACGAAGTGTTAATAACGCGTATTCTCTGATCCTTCAGCAGCAGTTTCTAGTCTGAGATACGCAGTCTAGTTTTGTCGACCCCTGAAAGGTTACTAGTCTTACCCTTAGTAGGCTTTGCATGCAGGCATTTGGGACCTGGAAACCATGGAGACCAGTTCAGAGCCCGTTGTAAGCGACCCTCAAGCCTGTATCGCGGATGGAGATTGTTTTGTCAAGTCCAGAGAAACGTCAGGGTCGTTTGAAGCCGCGTCGTCAGACGAGCGTAGAATCGAGTCTTCCGCTCCGACTAGCGGGTTGCCGGAGTGTTACGTGATCGTGCATAACGTGGCTAAGAGACATAATATCGGCATGCTCCTTCGTAGGTACGGGAATAAGGATGTCGTGGTTTTTCCCTTACCAGCTTTCGGTCTCTGATTTCATGCGTGTAAGTAGTAACAAACAAGTAGTATTGTTTCAGCACTAAGAGTGCAGGCTAATCTCCGCTCCCCGCTCTCCTAACCGCATACTCTCTTCTCTCCTTTCCTCTTTCTCCAACATCACCTTCCCTGGACCCCTCTTCTCTTATAATCACATCCCACAGTGCCACGGCGTTCAGCGTGCATCAGATCCTGGTGGTGGGTCGGAGGGATTTCAGTGCGTTCGGCAGCCATGGAGCCGCGGATCACGTCTCGCTGAAGCATTTCAATACACTCACAGACGCCAAATCCTACCTCCAGGTTGGTTCTTGAGGCTCCTCGTAAGACTTTGCAGCGTCTTTGATGCGCGTCAAACGATTTCAGTACGTTCGGCAGCCATGGGGCCGCGGATCACGACTCTCTGAAGCATTTCAACACTCTCACAGACGCCAAGACTTACCTTCAGGTTGGTTTCATTATTCTTGTGAGTTTTTGTCATTACACTAAGTTTTGTCACTGCATTATTTCTTGTCTCTATAATATTAACAACATTTCTTGTCATCACTGCGCTCTTGTCATTACACCATCCTTCTTGTCATTGCACCATTTTTGACGTGATGCCATTCTTTCATTACATCATTCTTGACATTACACCATTTTTATCATTATGTTTGCACCAATGCTCCTTTCAAACCGTCCCTTGTGCTGATGGTACGCTGTTGCCATTCATTATCTGTTTCCAAGTCATTCCAGTGTCCTAGTGATGTCATGCCAATGTCGTATCATTGGCGTGCACTGACTTTGCGATATCATGCCAGTGACATGGCAAAGTCATGCGCGTGCCATACTGACTTCATCTTGTTAACAACTCTGCCTTCGTACTTGTAATGTTCACGCACGCCATGCCATGTTGTGTCTACCCGTCTCATGCCATGTTGTGTCTACCCGTCCCATGCCATGTCTACGCATCTCAAACCATTTCCATTGTATGTGGGCAGTAGGAGAGGGAGTGCAGCATATGCGGGGTGGAGATCGTGGACAATGCACGCCCCATACAGTCACATCCATTCACTGGCAACACCGCTTTTCTCCTTGGCAATGAGGTATCTATCATCTGCTCTACCACACATCCCCCTCTCTCATGCCATTTTGCTCATTCTTCCACCCTCGCATATACTCTTACAGACTTTACTCCTCTTCCATCTTCCCTCCCCAAAGGGCAGCATTATGCAAATTACACTCTTGAGCAACAGGATCAACACTGTTAAAGCATCATCTTAAAAGAAAGTTTGCATTAAAAAGAGCCTCCTTGTGTAAACTGGTTCTCTGCCCTCTCCTTGCCCTTTCCTGCCCTCGCGCAACTCCCACCAGGCACAGGGCTCTCTCCCACGGAGCTAGCAGTGTGTGACTCGTTTGTCTACATCCCACAGCACGCCCGGCTTTTGGCTTGACTCACGAGTCACCTCCGTCCATCACCCCCATCCCACCAGGGCACGGGGCTCTCTCCCACAGAATTAACAGTGTGTGACTCGTTTGTGTACATCCCGCAGCATGGCCCCGGGACCGCGTCCCTCAACGTCATTGTCGCTGCCTCCATCGTCCTGCACCACTTCGCTGGTGAGCTGGTGTTGGCATATCTTACAACTCGCACATGAATCTTTGTGACAAGAGCTCTATTCTGCAGTTTATTTTGAACCACACCATGCACCCCACCATGCACCCCACCATGCACCCCACCATGCACCCCACCATGCACCCCATCATGCACCCCACCATGCACCCCACCATCCACCCCACCATGCACCCCACCATGCACCCCACCATGCACCCCACCATGCACCCCACCATGCACCCCACCATGCACCCCACCATGAACCCAGTCATGCACCCCTTATGCAGCTCCTCATGCTGTCAATGTCTTGTCCTGCTAGGATGAATGCTACAAAATTTGCCTTGGAATCGTACGATACAACTGCCATACGTTCTTTGCTTCTTGCATCCCCTTCCTTAATCCAGTTTGGGCACAGTACTCTGAGCGGGAGCGAGAAGGTGCTAAATTCTCAGTGGCTGCCCGGCCACTGAGAAGGGGCCCTCGAAATCGCTGCCCTGAAGATCCTGCTGAGCTGGCCGCTCGACGGCAGAGCAGGCAGGATGCAGCAGAGGGTGACACGTGGCAGGATATGGAAGATGGTTCTTTGGGATTGCTGGAAGGGGAGGAGGAAGGGGAGTCATGAGCCTTCTCCCTTGAGACAACTGAACTGAGGTGTTGTTTCTGATTTGCCATTACAATGCATGGTGGACTGATGCACTTTTGCTTCCTTGCAGCTCATACATATCTGTACCAATAGCCTCCATTATCCATCTGCTGGCCTTCAGCTTGACATTGGTCCAGTAGAGAAAGCTACAGTACACGAGGTTATGATGCTCAGCCCAATAAGGTATCAATCTAGCTGAACGTTTCCGACTGGAATGAATCATTCTCCTCTGCTCACTACCAGACTGCCTGCAGATTATGTGGTGGAGAATTTTAGGGCCCCATTGAATACACAACATGCATCCACTCAGTACAACCAGCGCCTACACTGATCTTTTCCCCAGCAGTCTACACACTGGCGGTTGGGCATGCAACATTTTGTACCTTCTATGCAGTTCCTCATCATCAGTTCTACCCCGTCAGATCTACCCCATCCGTCAGTACTGCCCTGTGTTCCACATCCATCCGAGCGTCACTTCTGCTTCCTTGCACCCCAAGCCACGCGCCATTTTGAACCTGACACACAGTGAACGCGAGCATCCGAGGAGGTTGCAGGAGGATACAAGTGATTCAGTTGGCAAGTTGGTCTCCATTCAGAGCACCAACAGGCAGCAGTATGCAGCCTTCCGCCATCACACCAGATGGATGATGTTCGGCAATGCTGATGCATGCAGGTACACAGAAATGAGTTGCACATAGAAACACATGCATGCCACTACATCCATCCACCATCCGCCACGCACCCATGCCACAGCACGCATGCATCCACACGGCCATACCACATCATCCATGCCACTACATCCATACATGCATGCACCCATGCTGCTGTGCCGACCCATGCCACAGCAAGCATACCATCGGATGGCCTCTTCAATGCTCGGCTTCCCCGTGCCCTCCCCATCCAGGTACATGTACCCCAGCAGCAGCTGCCAAGAGGGGCAAACAGAGCAACGCATCAGCCTTCTCATTCAGAGTTCGTCTAAGAAGCTCACAGCGGCAGCACAAAGCAGATCATCAACACATCATCGGCACCACATCAGCCTGGGCAATCAGGGTATGTCTCAGACACTCACAGCAGCAGCAGCAGTAGCAGCAGCAGCAGCAGCAGCAGCAGCAGCACGGAGCAGAGCATATCAGAGCGGCTCAGATCAGCCGCACCTGTTCATTCAAGATACATTCAGATACTCACAGCAGCAGCAGCACCGAGCACAGGATCCGCCTGGGCGTTGCGAGCCGCACGCAGCAGCCACGCCAGAGCCTCCTCCTCGTCCCGCGGCCATTCCCCATCCCCTCTATAGTACGCCTCGCCCATTCGATACTGGCTCCCCTGGTGCCCCATTCTCGCCGCCTTCCTGTACCACTCCAGCGCCCTCTGCTGCTCCCCCCTCGCTTCCATCACCCTCGCCATAATCACACACGCATCCAGGTTCCCTGCTTCAGCTGCCCGGACGACTAGTAACGGGGGAAGGGGACATGGAGCGGGGGAGACCGTGAGGGGGACTCCAGAGAGGTGATTGTAACGAAGGGTGACTGTAGGAGAGGCGAGTGGTGAGCGGCGAGGAGAGATAGTGAACGGTTCTTGGTGGTGGGTTAGGCGAGCCGGCAGAGTGGGTAAGCGCACATGGGAGCGGATGGGTTGGTTCCTGACGCGCCTTGAGTATGGGATGGGATGGGACTGCCCATCGCACTGGTCATCCGGTGCAGGCTGATCTGTCGGGTCGTTCTGATTCAACTGAGCAAATGAATTTGGCACCGTCGTCACTTGCAAGCTCGTAGCTGCTGCTGATGAAATCGGTGGTGGCAGTGATTGTACTGCAGGTGCTGCTGTTGCAGGTGCTGCTGTTGCTGGTGCTGCTGTTGCTGGTGCTGCTGTTGCTGGTGCTGCTGTTGCTGGTGCTGATCCCGATGCCACTGCTAATCCTGCTACTGCCGTTGGTGGTATTGCCGAGGGGCCGTTCCATACTGTTCCACTGGCCGATGACCAGGGATAGGAAACGGTCACTCTGGGCCTCGGTACAGTCACATTCAGGAGGAGGTGCTGCCAGACACAGCAGGAG